AATCAAATGGGACCAGAAAACAAAAACCTGTATATGTATCTATTCTCATAGTTACTTCATAAAAGAAAGTTATTTTTAATCCCTGTATACAGAAGATTTGAAAAAGTCCTTTTGAATTAAATTTTAGTTTAATGAAAAAGTCTACTTTTCTCATTTTAAATCCCAGCAATAGGAACTTCCTTGAACTCATCAGGGACCAGAAGGTGAGCATTTGAGAACCACTGTTGTCCTCCTTCCTCCCCCAAATTCCACTCCTCATACCTGACCTCAGAGAGTACCTTAACCTGGCTCATGACTACTTCATTCAGCAAGGAGCAGCCCAATCAGAGCCACTCGACTGGGGATTAAAATGAAAGTGGCCAGGAAGAAGGAATAACTTAAGTAATAAATGCTACCTCAGGAAAGGCAGGCAGAAAAGGGCAGGAGGCAGAGGGAACAGCTCTGAAAGACAAAGCTCGGGGCAGCTATAACACCAGACGCTGTCTTCCCCGCCCCACTCCTTGGGGCAAACTCAGCCTGTGGAGACTTGAACCCAGTGGGCGCCATGTGTTCATGGGCCAGCTTGGCCCCTTAAATGAACCGGCCGTGACCACGGAGCAAGTTATACAGTCAACCGGGGTCGGACATCATTGACAAGACCCTTCCCTGCTGGTGACAGAGCCTTGCTGCGTATATTCAGGATCCCAGGAGACTTTGAAGACCATAACAGGGGAAGAACAGAAAACTGAAATCGCTTTTGTTTAAAAAAGGAGTGAAGATTTCTCTGGAGTATATAGTATTATAGTATAAAATATCTATATACATTAACATCAGATTTTCCTTCAAAAAAGGTCTCTAAAACTAAATAGAATAGACTTAAAAAAATAATACTTTTTACCTTAGCTGCCTGAAAGCCACTGGTTCATCAAGAAAAGACTTTAGTAGTAAACAAAGTGTTATCACAAGTGTGACTGTCCCAGAAAACTGTCAATGCATCAAATAGTCAAATCATGGATGGAAAAGGTTGCCATGCTTAATTTTAGAATTCAGGAATGTTGAGGGGGAATTAACAATCAAAATGGAAACAAAACAAAATCCCCAAACTCTCAAAGATACAACTATACAAAGTCATTAAGAGGATTCCAAGGGTAAAATCTCAGTCATTCCTTGTGCCTTTTAAAAATTTACTTATTTTATGGGGCACATGGGTGGCTCAGTCAGTTAAGCATCCAACTCTTGATTTCTGCTCAGGATCTCATGGTGCGTGCGATTGAGCCTTGTGTCAGGCTGTGCACCGACAGCACATAGCCTACTTGGGATTTTCTCTCTCTCTCTCTCTCTCTCTCTCTCTCTCCCTCTGCCCCTCCTCCTTCTCTCTCTCTATCTCCCTCAAAATAAATAAACTTTAAAAATTTTTTAAATAAAAATTTACCTATTTTTTTTTTAATTTTTTTTTCAACGTTTATTTATTTTTGGGACAGAGAGAGACAGAGCATGAACGGGGGAGGGGCAGAGAGAGAGGGAGACACAGAATCGGAAACAGGCTCCAGGCTCTGAGCCATCAGCCCAGAGCCTGACGCGGGGCTCGAACTCACGGACCGCGAGATCGTGACCTGGCTGAAGTCGGACGCTTAACTGACTGCGCCACCCAGGCGCCCCAAAATTTACCTATTTTTTAAAAACAAACACTTATCCAGCACTTAGCACGTGGCAGGCACTGTTCTAAATACTTTACATGACCTAAGTTCATGCACTGTTCATACTAATCCAACCAGGCAGGTCTCTTTATCCCCATTTTACAGATGAGGCACAGCGAGACTACGGCTTGTAAGGTTAACTGGTGGAGCCTGGACAGGACATTGGTGCACCCAGCACTATCCCAACAGCTATGCCTTTGCTGGGGTGTGGCCGTTTTTGTTTTGTTCAGGGGAGGGGCAGTATATTCAGGTCATGTTCTAGTACTGGGGCCCTGATGTTTCTGTGACTAGTAACCCCAGAAGAATGTCAGACCCTCAGCACACCTACCTGCCAATGCATGCCAGCCCTTCCTACACAGAGAACTAGGGATTCTCCGGCAAGTGTTAACAAGCCATTCCTGATGCCGATTACAGCACCTGGGATAAGTACAAGAAGGAAGCAGAGCAATTGATATGCTTTCAGAACTTGGCTTTGATAAGTTCAAAGAAAGCTAAACTCTTTGGATTTGGATTTTATGTATTCTGAATTGAAAGCCAGGATTCTGAAAGGTCCCATACGATTTTCTGTATGTGGGTTCTCTAACTTGCCTTCACAGAATGATCTTCACAATTTTGGCCAGATCTGATAAGGCCTGGACTATTATTTGCCTGCCAGTTTTATTTAAATCAACTCAGTTTTTTTTTCTAGTTCTTTTCTTTTTTTTAATTCTTGAAGTATAATTGACATATATCGTATTAGTTTCAGGTGTATAATACAACGATTCGATATTTGTATATATTGTGAAACGATCACCTCAATGAGTCTTG